ATTAAGAGAACATCTAACAAATGAAGTTACGCAATTGAGGTTTTTTTTTCCAAACATGAAGTTTGTCAGTTCTCTCACAAATGCCAAATAATAAACCAACTGGAAATTTAACAGACTCCTCCCTAAAGGCTTATTTTCTCCACCCTTTGAAATGACAAAATTCCCCTGTAAAATTCCCTGTAAACCTACTTGCACAAGAGTTAAGAATCACCTATAATATCAATCATCCACCAGATGCAGCAGAACTCATCCAACAATGCATAAGGTGCTTCACAGCCCATAGGTTACACATAACTTCTGGCAGCTCAAGCTTTGCCTGGTTGTTTCTCAGCCTAACCAACCCATTTGTTCCTCCAGCAAGCAGGAACGTCCTCAGCTTTTATTCCTCCCAGTCATCATTTAGCATACAGTTTTCTCCACTTGGTTTAGCAGCTCAGAAGGTGACATCCAAGAGGAGGTCAACGTAATCAACAACTCAAATTCAAAAGCTCCATAGAAAGCTGTGCTTTGCTTAATGAAGCACATTAAATGCCACATGGTCCTTCCAGCTTACAAAGCACAACGCATGTTTTCAAGCTCAGTCAGTTTTCACATGTATTGAAGCGGAAGGAAAGAAGTCATAGGAGTCCTGCCATATGTAGCTTCTTGCTTAACTTGCAAACCTACATGCAGATCCAGACTACCAGAGTCACAGCCCTGTGCTTCACACCTCTTCCAGGCTGTAAATCTTTGTGGTTTTATTTTTCCCCACAAGAGAGTGTGGTAAAGTCCCTATTTCAGTATAATGAATCAAATCAAACACAGCCATGTTCCCATGTTAAAGGAAGCAAAGTCAGCATAGCCCATCCCAGGCATGGCAGTGTAGTACTCTCATGGTTTATTAAAATCAACAGAATGCAAGTCTGCACAGATCCAGCAATCTATCATTTAGTTCTCTTTCCTGATGTACACGCACACTTCAACCCACTTTTTTTCCTAGAAATACTCAGCATAAAAGCTGGAACACCACATGGGAAGCATGTAAGATAGTTCTGAAGCACAGAAACAGTGCAGCAACAAATTTGAGTTGCAATAGGGCAGAACCCTTCTGAGTTAAGTTCTATTCCTTCCATCTACCCCTCACTATAAGGAAATCCAAGCCCTTCCACATAGAGGATTGTGAGCCACTTGCATAGGCTGCCCAGAGAAGCTGTGGATGTCCCATGCCTGGAAGTGACCATAGACAGATTGGATGACGCCCTGGGCAGCCCAATCTGGTGGGTGACAACCCTGCCCAAGGCAGGGGGTTGGAACGAGATGATCTTTGGGATCCCATCCAACCCAAGCCATTCTATGATTTTACCAGTATTTCCCTCCACAGCTGAGAGCTACTGTTTGTTTTTATGGTCGAGCTGCTATTCCACAGTCCTACCTCAGCACCAACCACTTGAGCCAAACCACAAAACACTGCCATAGCACAAATGCTCCTAAGCCTCATTCAAGAGCTCAGAAGGCTGCTTAAAAAGCTTTAGGAGGAGAGGTAAACAGAAGATAAATGTTCTTAAATGACTCCCCAGATCTGTTTCACTTGTCCCCTGTTAATCTAAAAGGAAAAACATGACTAAGATTCAAGACTCTGTCTTCTCTTTCTAAGGGATTTGGTGTCCACGTGACAAGTTTCAGCAACCCTCACATCACATGCAGCAACTGCAAAATTCACTCAAAAGCTACGCACTGACAACTACTTCAGATGGGATTGCTGAATTATCCACATCACGGCTTCCCCAAGGACAAGTTCTTGCCCAGGAAGCTAGATTGCCAACCACAGCTGTAAGGAAAAAAGAGGCAGCAGAACCAAGTGTTCACAACTTAATTCTCTTAGCAAGAGTCCTTCTGGAAGGAGCAGGCAGCTGGGAAGGATTACATCTGATTCTCATTTGATTACTAAATTAGAGCAAGCCCTGCACAACACTGCAGAGGAGCTTGACTACAGCCTTAAAGACAGGATAGAATAGTTTAGAGTATTTGTAAGCTCCAACAAATACTTTCCTCAGTGCTGGAATAGTGGTGATCCTAACCATAGAATGGCTTGGGTTGGAAGTGAGCTTAAAGACCATCCAGTTTCAACGCCCTGCCCTGCATAGGGTCACCAACCACCAGATCAGACTGCCCAGGATCCCATCCAACCTGGCCTTGAGCCCTCTGAAGGATGAGCACACACAGCTTCTCTGAGTAACCCATGCTGGTGCCTGACCACTTTCCAAATAACGAATTTCTTCCTAACATCTAGCCTGAGTTTCTCCTCTTTCCATTTAAAGCCATTCCCTGTTGTCTTGTCACTACCAGGCCATATAAAAAGTTGCTCCCCCTCCTGCTCATAAGCTCCCTTCAAGCACTGCAAGGACACAGCAATGTTTCCCTAGAGCTTTCTCTTCTCCAAGCTAAACCACATTAAGCTGGGCATCATCTACCTGTGGATCCTGCTTACGCCACGTGGAGGACCCATTTAAAACACAGAGTGGAGCAGTGGGGAGCAATCACTCCCTTCATCCTATAATGAAGCACTATTTCTTCCTCGTGAACCTTTGATCTAAAGGGCTTTCTAATACCCTTTGCAAGAGGTGAAATTGGCCTCAAAGAACACAGTGGGTTGTTCTACTAAAACTTCACACTCCGTGTCACAGATCCACATCGAATCACTAAGGCCATCTATTCCAATCACCCACCCATCCCCACCATGCCCACTAAACCATGTCCCTCAGTGTCACAGTTCCATGTTTCCTGCACACCTCCAGGGATGGTGACTCCACCACCTCCCTGGGCAGCCTGTTTGAGTGCATTACCACTTTCCCTGAGATTAGCATATTCTTTTTCAGGCTTCCTGTAGCCCCAAGTAAAAGAAACACGAAGTCACAAACTCTTCTTATAACAACATAAAAATATCCATCCTGCTGTAGACCGTACTCTTGCAAGCACATTCCATGGCTAAGCACCTGCAAAGCCTTATCCATCACAACATCAGCATTAGTTTGATCTCCCCTACATACACTGTTTGCAAACCACCACTATCCAGGTACTGCAGCCTTTTCTTCCCAAGGAGGCTTCCAGCTGAATAGGCCACTCCCAAAAGAAGCCTTAAAGCATGTTATACCCTAACAAAGTCTTTGGTAAACCAATTACAGCTACAGTGGGCTAAAGAGGCTGCACACAGCCAGCCCTAACAGAAAACCTGAGAGTATGCAAAGGAGCTGTAGATAAAGAACACCTGATGGGAATTAGGGGCAGCCAGGGGATGATCTACCATCAGGAGCCTAGGGCTGGAAACCTATTCACATCTAGGGGCTCATCTTCAGCCACTGAGCAGATTCACAAGGAAACCACTCAAGAAGAGCTTTTGGATTTTTCCCTAATTAACCAAGAGGATGCTCAGCTGCTCTTCATATCCTTGGACATGAGCATCCTCATTCTCCAGCTGAGGTCCCTGGGTTCGTTCAGCCTAGAACAGGAAGCTGAAGGGAGGCCTCACTGTTGCCCACAGCTCCTCACGGGGAGCGGAGGGGCAGCACTGAGCTCTGCTCTCTGTGACAGCAACAGGGCCTGAGGGAACAGCATGGAGCTGTGTCAGGGAAGGGGCAGGGGGAGTTAGGGAGAGCTTTGCATCAGAGGGCAGTCGGCATGGAACAGGCTGCCCAGGGCAGTGGGCACGGCACTGAGCTGCCTGTGCGGTCCTGTGTGAAACCAGGAGTTGGACTTGATGGGTCCCTTCCAACTCAGGAAGTTCTGCAAGACTGTATTAGCTCTTGCATCAGGGGGAGAACAACATTCTTAGCTACTGCTGGCAAATAATTGAGCCCATGCTTTCATTTGTGGGAGTATTTTGATAATTAATACCCTTTATTTCACAAGATATCTCCTGTGGTTTATGGGTCAATTAACACATAGCCTCCCCCACTACAGGAACACAAAGAAAAAAAAACAACAGAAACAACAAAGTAGGCTGCTCTTACTGTTAATGTTCAGTGAAATACAGGCCGTGAAGTGTTGCAATGTCATTACTCCCACTGGAAAAAGCTATCAGCTGCCACAGGAAGAACTTGTTGCAGCTTTCAAAGCTGACTGGCATTAAACACTGGAGTCCAGGCAGCACAGAGATTCAAGACATGTGGCTCCTCAACTCAACTGGAAGCTTTAATTACTGCAGGCTTTTGAAAAAAGGAGAACAGATTGAGGCTTCTGTTAGATCACTTAACCCCAAGGAGAAGCACCCACGGTGCTCCAAGCACAGCACAGCTGGGGCACAGCAGCAATGATTTTTTCAAGTCTTGCAGCATCAGTGCCCTCACCTCTTCTCACTGCTTTCTCTTATTACCATCCCTCCCCAGCAAACAGCACTCAACCCAAAAAACTTCACGTTTTAAGGGAAAGTTAAGCAAAACAACATCACAGTGCAATTAGAGGAGCTATTATTCTAACCAAGCAGCACCGTACCTGATGCCCACCCTATTTTTTGTCACATTCTTCCTGCCTACACCGTTGGCTTCCACCCTTCATTAAAATTTTCTAAGCCACTGAGCTCGCACATCAGAGCCGCGACTCCGCGGTGCCTCATTACCATCAGATAAAGGCTCGGAACAACAGTTTTACGAGAGAGCATCTGGCGCCCTAACTGCCGGCTGCGAGCTGCTGCCGTCCCTTCTCCTACAGGTCTGGAGGAAAAAAAAAAAATCATTAAAAGCGACGCGAAGCTCCAAGCAGTGCCGGCAAACGGGCTGCGAGACCCTACTAGAAGGGTTATCTGGCAGAATAGTTTGGGTTGTTAAGGAATATCCGCTTCCAACCCCCCAGCTGCAGCCTAACGGTAAGCCGCCGAACCCCCGTGCAGCTCGGCCTCGAGCACCTCCAGGAATGGAGCATCCACAACTTCTCCGGGCTGCCCGTACCGGTGCCTCGCCACTCTCTAAGCAAAGAGCTTCCCCCGAAACCTCGCCCTAATAACAGCCCGGAGGTACGGAGGTACTCACACATCAGCGTGCAGAAGGCGCACAGTGCCAGCAATGCCTGCAGCAGCACTCCGAAGCGGCCCAGCAGCGCTCCGCTGCCGCAGCCTTGAGTCGGACGGGACGCGGCCATGACCGGGCGGAGCGCAGCGCAGCGAGGAACGGAACGCGACCGCCCCGCTGCCTACAAAGCGGCTCCGCGCCCCCGCCCCTCTGCCGGCGGCCACACCCGGGGGTGGGATGGGCAGGGACACGGGTGAGCGTGGGAATGGGAGTGGTGATGGGGATAAGGATGGAGATGGGCATAGGGATCGGTACCGGAATAGTACTGAGTGTGAATGTGGGTGTGGAATGGATTTAGGGTTGGGAATGGGAAGGGCTCGAGGGATGTCCAGTAGGGGTGGGGGTAGAGGGGACTTGGTGGTGGTTGGGGTGCCGGGATAGAAAATTTATGCTTGTGTCTTGGCAGAATCTAGAGTGTTGGGATGGGGAAGATGGGTAGATGTCCCAGTGGAAGTTGAGGTATCAGATATGGGGGGTTCCACTAGGGCTTGGGGTGCCAGGATGGGGAATATAGATTGTGGTCCTCGGGGGGCTTAGGGTGCTGGGATGGAGAGGGTAATTGGGCATCCCAGTGAGAATTGTAGTGCTGGGTTGTGGCAGTCCTGGCAGGGTTTAAGGTGCTGGCATGGGGAGTTTGGACTTGGGTCCCGTTGAGGTCTGAAGTGCCAGGTTGAGGGGTTCTTGGTGGGATTTGAGAAACTAAGATGGGGTGAGTTGTTTGGGGAATGCTGTCAGGGATCAGGGTGCCAGGCTGGAGGAGGTCCTGGTAGGGTTTGGGGTGCCAGGATAGGGAATGGTACAGGTATCCCTTTGGGGATTGAGGTTGGAGGGTCCCGGTGAAGTTTGTGGTGCAGTGATGAGGAGTTTGGGCTGCGGTCCCAGTGGGGTTTGGGGTGCTGAGCTGGGGATTCTGTTGAGGATGGGGAGTGCCAAACTGGAGACATCCCAGGAGAGCTTAGTGTGCTGAGATGGGGAGAGTGAATGAGGGTCCTGATGGGTTTGGAGGTACAGGGATGGAAAGGACATAGAGCATTCTTGAGGCTTTTTGGGTGCCAAGTCAGGGAGGAAGGTGGGGGTCCCACGAGGAATCAGGGGGGATTCTACCTGTGACAGAATGATCTGATACACTGCAGGGTCTACCGATGGGGTCAGTATCTTAAACTGCCTCAAACTTGCTACTCTGCCTAATACCATTCCCCTCCCCCTCCACAGCCTCCTCCACAGAGGGCAGGTTTCATTTTCTATTTCTTTTCAGTGCACTTATCTTCTGAGAGAACTGAGGTCACGCGGCTGAGTTTTCCTCCTTGACTTCAAGACACAGGAACTTGCATTCAGCTACAAAACCAGGCGGACTGCAAATCTCATCATATCATATGACTCCAAGCAATAGCCTTAAAGTCAATGGTAAACATTACAAGGCACTAAAGAAAATCATGGGAACTGTTCCTCATCTGAGTCCACACATCCCCTGGTACCAACGTGATGAAATAGCCCCTGCCAGAAATAGTCCCTCCTTTTTTCAAGGGGGGACCAAATTGTGGACTGGCAGATGCTCAAGTCACCAGCTTTAATCACGATTTAATCATGAGTTCAGTCAGCAAGCTGGAAGCTAGTTCTTGCTAAGTCATTTTCAGCTGATTTCATGTGTGCAACATAGTTTCATAAAAAGGTTAATTCCTCTAGGTTGGTGAATCTGTTTGTGTCTTGCAATCAGTTGCCTTTATATTAAATTCTAAATGAAATATTACAGCTGATATTATTACATAAGCCAGATGAACACCTTGCTAGCATCTATAAAGCAACGTGTATCTTAACACAGATTTACTTTGGCTCTAACATTTTACTTTTTCTTACATTTCCTCAGCAGTTTTTGAAGAACCATTTCCAAGAACTGGTTGCTGGATGACCATTTTTCACCTGGGAATTGCCTCAGGCTCTTTTTGCCCAAGTATTACACACTCAAGACATTTGAACTAGATGGATATTTCTTAACATTTCATTTTCTATGGATATCCTGCAAATTATTCATCAAAGACAGTATTTGGGATGCATCAGCAGACTGTGTGTACGTGTACAAAGGAAGGTTTTCCCAAGGCTCCATCTCGCCAGTTGTGCATTCTGCACTCCTGCCAGCCAGCAGTGATGGTTTCTCCCTGCTGCTCCACTCAGCAATGGAAAGTTATCTGAAGCCTTATTTTCAAATGCTGAAACTTTTACAAGAGAGCCCAGTATGTGTGAAAACACACAGGCTATAAAAGGGATGAAGAGAAAAATCCTGATTTCACCCCTTCCTGCCCCTCATTGCAGAGAGAGGCAGCAATCCCTTAGTGGTTATTTGTACTCGACACTTTACTGTGAAAGCACAGCCTTGGTTTACCAAAAGCATGATTTGCACTTCAAAATACTTGGATTTTTAAAACCTGTGCAAATAGCCCCTAAGGCTTGGCTGTGTTGGTGGTAGAGTCTGTGGGCTCTGGCTCCTAAATTCTGTTACATTATTATAGCAACTAAGATGTCCCACAGCTGTCTCCATACCTTTTGCCCCCCAAGGATTTCTATCTCTCTGTAGAGGTAAAGAGGTGTAGGATCCCGTTTGAATCTGGAGAGGGAAAGGTAGAGGGAGAGCGATTGGGAGAGGGAGGGGGAAAGGATCACTTGTTTTTCCCAAAGCCTTGGTTGAATAAAAGCCTGGAGAGGTCTGTCTTTGTGACCTTACAGAAATATGGATGATGGTTGTATACTTGCAATCAAAAAAGCCAAGACACTCCAGTAGTTTCAGGTAGTAAGGGATGCAAAAAGCAATCCTGGCAATTTTGTGCATGTGAAAGGAAGGATGGAGTAAATCTCTGAATTCTCAGAGGGAAAAAAATCAAATACTGGAAACCACAGAAAATACTTACTATATTTTTTTTCTCTTTAAAGAAGGATTAGCCAGGCCGCACTGGCAAGTAAAATTGGTTTATAAAGAGCAGAGCAGAGACAGAACAGGACAAGAATGTGTCAGAAGATGAGATTGAGGTAAATCTGAGGTGTGTCAGAGCCTGAAGAAACCTGTGCAGGAAGAGCTATGAAGTGAGGCCAGGGCAGCTGACCTAAACCCATACTGTAGGGTGTTAAACTTGGCAGTAAAAATGAGGAAAGAGGAAGAGGGGGGGGCTGTCGTAATAAAAATGTTCATTCTGCTAAACAATTGTTACTTGCATTGAAACTTTGTTCTCCAAGACATAGCTGCCCATCAGAGTGAAAACACCACAGCAAGGAAGAACATTTCCTTGCTCAATGAAAACCAACCTTGACAAAGGAAGTGACGATTGGAATATCAAAGAAATGCTGGTGCAGGCTGCCCAGAGAAGTTTCCCCTGGAGGTGTTCAAAGCCAGGTTGGATGGGGCCCTGGGCAGCCTGCCCTGGCGTGTAATCTAGTGGTTGGCAACTCTACTCATGGCAGGGGGGTTGGAACTAGATGATCTTTGAGGTCCCTTCCAACCCAAACTATTCTATGACTCTGCCAGGGCATCTTCCATGCCATTTCCATGCTACACGAGCATAACACGTGGACTGAACACAACTACACTCACAGCACTGATGAGCAGCATCAACAAAAGGAGAACTTAGCAGCATGGATCAGTTAAGTGTTATGGACTGCCAGATTTAAAGATGCATAAAATAAGTGCATAGTGTTGAACTAAATTAAGGTCTTTATTATTACTGTTATTATTTTCTGTTTCTCAGTGATCCTGCTCTATTTTACCCTATGCTTACTGAGAACCCATTCATTTTTTTCTTGACTTTGGGTTCTTACCTGTATGGGAACTACTGAGTCACGGCCTGAACCTCTGATTGATCACCTGAGGTGAGCCATGAGTCAGCCAGAGGAGCACAGGTGAAGGCAATTCAGCTGTGCTGCCGGAAGGGGTGGAGCCAGGCTGCACCCCTCCAAGACCTGTTTAAGAGCTGACTGCCACTGGGGAAGGATCTTGTCTGGAGATCCCTCCTTCTGGTGTTTTGTGGTGAGTCCAGCATAAGGGTAAGCCTTCCATTTATTCTCTGTTGTTATCATAGTCCACTTCACCTAACTCTCTTGTTTGTTTTGTGATTGTAGCATCTCGGTATCCATCAATTATACATTTCCATCTATCATCTCTTGAAAAAGGTTCTCCATATTCCTTGAAGACAAAGTGTTGGCCTTTTTTTTTCCCCCTCTGCTTGAAAAAGCAAGTAAACTCTTCTGTTACAAAACAAAGAAAAAACAAAACAAAAAAAACAAAAAAAGGGGGTGTCTTGAAGTACTGGGAGTTTTCCAGCCCATTGCAATGCCTACTGGCAACTGTCACCTTGTCTCATACGCAGCTGGCCAAAATGCTCAGTGTGCAACGTGGCACTGGATAACACACTGCAGTCATCACTGTGTTTGGGCTCCAATTCCCAAACACTTCAGGGCAAGGCTGTGTGTTGCAGGGCTTCCTCATTTCAAGGGCATGGAGCTCGGAGCTCTGGGGAGCTGCTGGCTCAGGATCAGGTGGGATACTTGGTTCTGGGCCAAGAGCTCCATCTGATTTGCATCTGCTTCTCCTTGCACTGAACTGAGAAGGAAATTTGAGTGCAGGAAATAGTGTTCGTTTCCATATCCCATGCCTCTTTTATTTATTTATTTATTTTTGTTTGGTTTTTTTTTAGGTCTGTTACATTTTTGAGAAGTTGCCATGGCCTTGGATGCCTTTACAGCAGTGCTGTACAATCACTGGTTGAAAAAGCCAAGCTTTGCTTTGTAGCAGCTGCTGTTGGGTGGGATCCATCTCACTTATCTTTAGTTGAGATGTCTTTTGTCTCCTGTTATAGTCAGTGGAGGAAAATAGCCTGTTGGAGGACACATTCCTCTGATCTATTCTGGTCTTCTCTGAGATCAAATGAGTCCTCTCTGTCTCTAGCTGTAGGTGTCCCTGTTCATTGCAGGGGAATGGACCAAATGAAGATCAACTAGTCAAATTCCTCTGCAATGAACACGGGCATCTACAGGAACAGAGACTTTCATAGGTCCCTTCCAACTCAAATGATTCTATGGTGACAAGCATTCAGTGGCAGTCCTGTGCATCAGAAAAGTCATGTGAGCATATCTGCTAATTTTTACAGCAACACAACATTGGTTTCTTCCACTGACTTGCCCCTTAAGGTGTTTTGTATCCCCAAGTCCCCAGTAATGCAGAGGATAAGGAATGTCTGCAGACAGTTACTGTGGGAGGAGGATGCAGAGGTCTGCCCTTTTCAGGATGACACGTACATTTTTTATTTGAATTTATTTCTCATCTGATAGAGGAATTGTTTCTGAAAACAAGAGCCCTTGAGAAAATTTTCTTTAACTGATACTTCAAACAGGTTTCATTCATACTGCCATCAGAATAGATCTCTGCTGATTACAGAGTAACTGGTCCTTATTCTTGCCAAATTATCCCCCCCCCTTTTTTTTTCCTTTTTAATTGTTTTTAAAAGATCTGTCATATTTAACATTCACTTCTAGGTTATGTTCACAAACAAGTGGCCAGCACCAATTTTAGAAACAACCAAGACTTTGTATTGCTTTACTCTGAGGAGCTGTTGTCAGGATAGTAACTTTATATTTTTAGTAAGCACCTTAGCTATGTTATCATGAGATGTTCTGTTTCCAGCTCTGAATGAATGGGAACAACCTCATGCCTAACATGGCCTGTGCTATTATTTGCATGCTGTGTTTGGCTTGGAGCTGGGGCTCTCAGACAGTGTTTGCTCAGCTCATATCTGGCCCCTTGAGCCAGTGAGGCAGGCAGGTAAGGCTTCCAGGGCTGTGTCAGGCTGTGTGGATATGCATGAAGAGGCATGTCTCAGCCTCCCTTCCTCTCTCCTCTCCCTTAGAACACCTCAGCTCTGCAAATCAGTCCATTAGAGGACATCTTCATCCTGCAAGGCCATTCCTTCTTCTGCAGTATGAGGCAAATGTAAAGGAACCTCCTATAGGTCCCACTATCCCTACAGAAATGGTCATTGTACATCAGGATGGGCCCTCTTGACATCCTACAGGGATGATGGTTATGCATCACCCTGGATTCCTGCAGAGCCTACGGATTTCACTGATGATATGGTAGCTCATTTTTACCAGTGCAAGAAATTAGAGGCCAGAACCTGCTCTCTAGTCCTGCAAAGAGTTCAACAGCTGAAAAATCACTTTCCTACTCTGTTGGTAGAGTAAAAAGCCCATCCCAGACCAATTAGTTCACAGGCTGTTTGTGGAACTCTGTCCTGACTGGAGAATGATTTGATGATTAAGAGAGGACAGAAACTCCTGTTTTAGTGACTGGCTTTGCTACAGTCTTGGTACATTATCTTGGGAGTTCTGCAAGTAATTCGTAGAATTATAGAATCAGTAAGATTGGAAAAGACCACTATGATCATTTAGTCCCACCATCAACCCACCACCACCATGCCCACTGAACAATGTCCCTAAATTACCAATGTGATGGGGTGTACCTTTAATTCAGACCATTTTGCTGATTATGTGTATAAAAAAGCTTCTAAAACACAGTGCAACTGATGAGGGTGGTGAACTGCAGAGAGGCTGGGATTTTTTGAACTGACTTTACCACTGAAATGAGAGGGGACAGCCAAAGATTGCCTATCTGGAGTGCAAGTACCTACAGAAGCATAGCCAGAGGCTGTGCTTTGGATTTCCTGAGAGTGTTCCTTTCAATGGGATATCGGCAACACTGTAGCACATACAAAACTCTACGATAGTGAGGCCGTGACTGTGGGGCAACAGGGGAAAGCAATGGGGAAATTCAGGGAAAACAGCTAGAAGGCACTAAGGAGTTATCCTTTATGGAAGCAACAAGATCAGCTGCCTCTACACCAATGCATGCAGCCTGGGAAACAAACAGAAGGAACTAGAAGCTACTGTGCTGCTTGAAAGCTATGGTTTAGTTGTCATCACCAAAACCTTTTGGGATGATTCCCACAACTGGAGTGTGGCTATCAATGGCTACAAGATGTTCAGAAGGAACAGGCAAGGAAGGAGGGGTGGGGGTGTTCCTGTCTACATCAGGAAAGGAATAAAATGCAAAGTTATCCCACAGTCATGAGCAAGTCAAGAGCCAATGGGTAACAATTGGAGACTGAGTCAGCAAAGGGAGCCTTGTGATCGGTGTCTACTACTGGCCACCAGATCGGTGACACCCTGTCGATGAGGCTTTCACCCTGCAGCTACGTGAGATTTTGGGATTGAAAGTGCTCATCCTGCTGGGGGACTTGATATCATAGAATCATAGAATGGCTTGGGCTGGAAGAGACCTCAGGGGTCATCAAGCTCCAATCCCCCTGCTGCAGGCAAGTCTGCCAACCTCCATATCTAATGCTGGACTTCAACCACCATCTGCTGGAAAAGTAGCACAGTGAGCTGGAGGCAATCCAAGAGGCTCCTGGAATGCATTGAGGATAACTTCCTGAGTCAAGTAACTGACAGCCCCACCAAAGGGAGTGCAGTACTGGACCTGTTGCTCACCAATGCAAATGAACTGATTGGTGATATCAAGATTGGAGTCTTTCTGGGCTGTAGTGATCATGCCATGGTTGAGCTCATGCTCCAGAGGGACACGAGAAAGATGAAGAGTAAAATTAAGAAACTAAACTTTAGGAAAGCTGACTTCCAGCTCTCCAGAGAGTTAGTCAACAAAACGTCCTGGGACTGTCCTCATGGGCAAGGGTGCAGAGCAGAGCTGGTAGATCTTCCAGGGGGGTTTCTTTAGGGTGCAAGAGCTTTCCATCCTGAGGTGAAGCAAGTCAGGAAAGGAAGGCAAGAGACTAGCATGGCTGAACTGGGACCTGCTGGTCAAACTGAAGAGCAAGGAGAAAATGCACAGACAGTGGAAACAGGGACAGGTACTGTGGAAAGACTGTAAGGAAGCTGCTAGGCTGTGGAGGGATGGGTTCAGGCCAATGCTCAGCTTGAACTGAACTTTGACTAGGGATGCCAAAAAGAACAAGAAAAGCTTCTACAGGTACCTTAACCAGAAAAGAAAAGTCCAGAAGGCTGTACCCTCCCATAGAGAGTGACACAAGCAGGCTGGTAACAACAGACAAGGAGAAAGCTGAGGTAATTTTTTTTGTTGTTGTTG